CCAGCCACAACATTTTGAATTCCTCAGGGAGGTGCCAGTCTCATCCTCTTATCTCTCCCTCTCGCCTCAGGAGATGAAAGAAAACTCACTGAGTTTTTCTCCCTGAGTCTGGCCTTCATAATTCCATTCCATCACACTAATACAGAACAGAGATGAACAATTATTTATCTTCCTCTTGACACTACTAATGATGTAACATAGGAGTGCAGTTGCTTTTTTGCAGCTTCACCACACTGCGACTCATGTTCAGCTTGCGATCCATCAAGACACCCAGATCATTTCTGCATGCAATGCTGCTCAGTATGCTGTCCCATTTTATACTCATGTCTTTGATTTTCTGTATCCAAATGTAGAACTTTGCATCTATCCCTGTTGGAATTCACCTTCCTTGGCTGTGCCCAGTGGTCCAGCATATCAAGATCTTCCTGAATCTTGACCCTGTATTCTCAGCTGTTTGTTTTCTGTTATTTGTCATCTATAAATTTTATAATCACATTTCCTAACTTTTCATCAGTCATTTGTGAATATGTTGAGCAGCAGAAAACTTTGAATGAAGCCCTAGAGTATACCACTCAACATTTCCATCCAGCTTGACTCAGAACCATTAGAGTATACTCACTAAGTATAATTGTTTAGCTAGCTCTGTAGCCACCAAAAAGTCACATAGTCCAGCCCATATTTGGCTGTCTTCCCTGTTAGAATCTTATGGGAGACTTTGCTGAATACTTGGCTGAAGTCAAGATACATTATATCGACACATTTCCATGGCCCTCTAAACTGGTGACTATCAAAAAAGGAAAGCAAATTAGTTTAGCATGACTTGTTCTTAATAAACTCATGCAATACATTATTTTGTAAAACTTCACAAATCAGCTATTTAATAATTTGTTCCACAGCTATGTATAATGGCTTCGTCAAGCTGACTAGTTTGTAGTTACTTGGATCTTTTTTTCCCCCCTCTTCTCAAAAATTCCTCAAAGATTATAGAAAGGAGCTCTGAGATGACATCCATAAGCTTCTTCAAGACTCAGTTGTAATTGGTTTGGTCTTGAAGACTTTAAACATACTCCCTAATCTCTTAATTTACCTTAGCTTGCCACTCCCCCACCCCCTCTTATGTCAGTTGTTCTGCTTAGGTATATTTTAATACAATTCCCTTTGTTTGAATAGACCAAGCACAATAAGAGTTGCGGAGCATTGCCCTCTCCCCATCATCTGTTACTATCCTATTTTATCCAAGCAGTGGGTCCTTGTCTTCCTTTTTCTTCCTTTTATCACTAACTTAGCAGCAAAAACCCTTTTTATTTCTTTGATCTTCTTTTGCAAACCTAAATTCTATTTGTGCTTTAGGCTTTTTGAGTTACTTTCCAGATACCAGCTATTTGCTAGTATGCCTCCTTGGAGATCACCTCCATCTTCCATATCCTATACATGTCCTTTTTAATTCTTCTATGTCCTGTACATCTCCCTTTTAAGTCAAAAGGTCCCTATGCATCCAGACTGATTTTCTAAGCTGCTTCCCCCATTTTTTGGAATGGTGTATTATTATATTCCAGTGTCTTATTTTTTAGACATTCCCAGTTCTCCTGTGCTCCATTCAACCTGACGATTTCTGTCCATAAGATCTCACCTGGTACTTCTAAGCTTGTTGGATTTGCCTCTCCTGAAATCTACTCTACATATATGACTCTGCTTCAGTTTCTCTTTCATGTTCCCAAAGTTTCCACTCCTTTTATCTCTTCAGTTATTCCTTATTGGCTCGGATCTAGCCTTTATCTGTTCCTTAACCTTTTGGAAAACGAAACAGCAAGACTACTGAGGAAGTTGGAGTCCTTTTGGTCTTGGCTTCCAATTAGTTGTCCAGTTGGTTGAATTTTCCCATTATGATCTCTTCCTAAAAGTGATGTAATCTGATCCAGGATGGCAGCATCCAGGAATTCTGCCTGCTTGATGGTTCAGTCCTTGCATTCCACTTGTTGAGCTTCACCGGGTTTTAATAATGCTTACTGTATTTTCACTGTTTGTTCCTACAATATTTTCTTTTTCTACCCAGTTAATGCTGAATATTGAATTATAGCATCGCTGAAGTACAATATATCTGGAAAGCAGTGGATTAGGAAAAGCTGATTTAATGCCATATATCAAATGGCTGAGAGCCAGTATGGTGTAGTAGTTAAGGCAGCAGGCTAGAAACCAATCTAGTCCTGCTTAGGCACAAAGCCAGCTGGTGACCTTGAGCCAGTCACTTTCTCTCAGCCCTAGGAAGGAGGCCATGGCAAACCACTCCTGAAAAACCTTGCCAAGAAAACTGCAGGGACTTTGCCAAGCAGTCTCCAAAAATTGGACACAATTGAATAGATAGATAGATAGATAGATAGATAGATAGATAGATAGATAGATAGATAACAAAATGGCTAATGCCAAAGATCCAATGCAATATATTGGATTAGCCACCAAAAGCCCTCCTCTGGTTTTTCTTATCTCATTATGCTCAAATTTCTGGCCAAGAGGGCACTGGTCACACTCATCACAGTGGAATATAGGAGGTGTCTTTCCAGTTTACTGTTTCTACTGATTTTACTAAAATTTTGACAACTTGATTGTAGTTTTCAGAAAGAATCTACACATTTTCAATGATCTACAGATACCATAAGTGAATATAAAATATATTCTAAGTAGTGTCTGTAAATGTAATGGAGAATATATTGACTTTTAAAATGTAGAAGAGAAGTGAAATATTGATCAAACATGGCAGACTGATTTGAAATAACTTCTTTTTCCTTGCTCTTAAGGTGACTGTTGGTTGTTGGCTGCCATTGGTTCCCTGACTCTCAATGAGGAACTCTTGCATCGGGTTGTGCCCCATGGACAGAGCTTCCAGGAGGACTATGCGGGTATTTTCCATTTCCAGGTAAAGGCATGCATTTTGCTACAGGAAGTGATTCATAGTGAGACCTTGCTCACTGACAGCTGTATGACAGAATGAAAGAAGTGCCGTTCAGAAAAAGCACTGTGTCTTATTCTAACATAACTATGCTTATTTTGCTCGAGGTAAGCCTGGCTATAAATTCATTATTCCTTTCTTTTTTTTAATTCGTCAGATATGGCAATTTGGTGAATGGGTAGACGTGGTAATAGATGATAGATTACCAACCAAGGATGGAGAACTTGTTTTTGTGCACTCAGCAGAGTGTCAAGAGTTTTGGAGTGCTTTGCTGGAAAAAGCTTATGCCAAGTAAGTGGTTGCTGTTGTTTAGTTCATTAGATTGCTGAAATAGAGATGGGTGCTTACTTTCTCCAGCAAACTCTGTTTTGTATTTGTTTCTTTGCTGTACTCCCCACCTCCTGTATCGCTGGAGTTCACTGGCAGGGTTTGCATATATCCTACTAACCCTAAGTTTTGTTTACTACACAGGTTGAATGGCTCTTATGAAGCCCTGTCTGGGGGCAGCACCACAGAAGGCTTTGAAGATTTCACAGGTGGTGTGGCGGAAATGTATGATCTCAAGAGACCACCACGCAATTTATCTAAAATCATTCACAAGGCCCTTGACAGAGGATCTCTGCTTGGCTGTTCCATTGATGTAAGAAGTGCCTCTGAGAGGGGTTCATGAAATGCTAGAGTTTGGGTACTGTAAGAGGATTGGAATGCTTCCTTTATTTGGTTCTGATTTTTAGAAGCCTGATAGGAGGCCAGAAGTAAACAGAATATAAGATTCAGTCAATGGAGGTTTATCAGAGTTGAACAGTTGAATGGGCCTGTGTTAATTGAAGTTGTTTTTGTTGTTGTTTAGTCGTTAAGTCGTGTCCGACTCTTCGTGACCCCATGAACCATATTGCGCCAGGCCTTCCTGTCCTTCACTGCCTCCCTGAGTTTGCTCAGT